AAATAAATCGTTGATAACTTATTCTCTTGGTCATCGTCTACTGGGTCATCCGTCATACAGGCAATTATGCAAATACAAATAACCGCGGGGAAAATTCTTCCGAATATATTCGCTGCTATCGTTTTGGATCAGATATTGCCACGACGCCGTCCACCCTGATATACAGTTTACGGTGAAGGGAAAATAAATAAGTGCATAGCCATCCCTGTTCTTCTTGCCTGTTTTTCCCAAAGCCAGAATACTCAGGAAAACGATAAGTACGACACACGAATAATAAAACCTAGCACAAAATCAGTCACGAACAAATTTGGGCACAGATGCTCTATTGACAAAATCGAATCAGAAGACAATATTGTCGAATTTCAGTTTGTTCCGAGCGGACCCAGAGGGAACGACTACCCGCAAAAATCTGTCAACTAACTAAGGCGAACTTGGGACCAGTTAATAAACCGCCCTCGGTCCACGTTTTGAAGGCGGAGTTTGCACGTCAAATAGTCTCCCAAATGCGCCAACAGCCTTTTCTATCAACTCGAAATCGCAGCTAGACTCAGACCAGTAGAAATTACCAAAGGATAAATAATAAGGTCCAGAAAAACGTTCCTCTCGCTTAATGTGTGTGGTGGAATTTTTTAACAAGGAAATTTTATCGGAGAAACAAGTTTAGCTAACAAACCTAACGCACTCACTCGTTGGATTAGGAGGCGAAGGAGAACGCAAGCAGGGCTCGAAGCACGCGCCGGGAAGCGAGTGAGGATGGCGCGTACATACTCTCCCTCCGACACAGCCGCTTGCTGGATTGAGAGGATAAGGGAGGCCCAATCACAACTGGGGACCACGGAAGGAACCGGGTGGTAATTCGCAGTGCATCGCCACTGTCGTAGAACCAACGGCGTTCCTCGCCGTCCAAACAATTCTGTTAACACGACTACTTAGCCGCTCGCTAGATTAAGATACTTAAGAGGGTTGAAGCAGGGCACAAAGTAGGCTCAAGGAAACTCGTGTGAACGGGAACCCGAAGTAACCGAGGATGACGTTTAGCACTCCTCCCCCCCCCACACCCTCACCCCCCGTGGCATAGTCACTCGTTGGATCAAAGTGGTAAGGAAGATGCAAATACGTGATATTTGTAAGGTGGGCGTATTCTCACTTATTAATTTTTCTTAAAAAAACTAACCATATGATATCGATCAAGTGGGGCCGTAGGATTAAACCTAGCCAGGGAATGTGATGGGACTTAACAGAGATGGCGCGGCGAAGACCGATCGTCAGTAAAAAATACCAAATGTTAACAATATAAGAAAATAAGCTTGTGTGTAGACTGAGAAATAATTAAACGAAGCCAGCATAAATGCCGTAGTCCCATGGAAGACACTGTGAACTAAAATCGTTCATTGGGATCGTCTAGGTCCCCTCAATGTCGAGAAAGCATGTAAAAATTCTGAAAGAGAATATAACACTGCTTAAAGTCAGCAACTGCGGACCGTTGGCCGTATTTGTTGTCATAGGATCTGTGCTACCGCACGCAATCGATCAAGTGGATATCCTTAAATCATTGGCATCTTGCATTGTTTTCCGAAAGTTTGAGCGTGATTTCCACCGAAACTTCTTTGGACAGCAATAAGACGATTTTTTACAATGGGGGATTTGCCTTGCGGTACGGAGAGGTTAATTTGCAAAGTTGCCTTATCACTATAAGGAGAGTTATGTTGAGGTTGACTGACAAACACTGGGGAATAGTCGGTGTGAATGGCTGCACTGGAAAGATGTCATTCTTTGCTTAACGTTTTGGCTTCCGCAGAAGGACAAATGGACAGGAATCTCGTCGCGCCATATTCAAAACAGCTTAGCATTGTGTTCTTACTATGGACTTGAAGAATGTACCTGTAAGTATTAGACTGGTGGAATTCCAATTTTGCAGCTCTCATTTGGGGTTTTGCGTTTTCATGCCCTTTTAAGAGACAGATCCCATAACGATTTAAGCAACTATAAGTCTCTGGCATCACAAGTCATTGACGTATGAGACTGCATCGCTTACCAACGCCTAGTTGCTTCTTTTTTGATATTGGTAGTAATTATGTCTTGGTTACACAAAGCACAACCATGAACGAGCAACCGACTACAAAAAACGCGTCTACCCCTTAGCAGATTTGTCTACACACATTCGTCTAAGTCGTACAGGTGTTTAATTTGTCATCGAAAGTCAAACTCTTGGAGTATTTGACGTCGACGGGAGACCGACCAAAGCAGTAAGCAGTATAATTACATCAAATGTCGGCGTTCAAGATATTTTCTCGTGGTAGACATACTGCATTGGGAGAAATTGATTTCTAAAGTTTTCGGTAAAACGCAAAATTATCAACTGAATGCCGGCTTATTTACTATAGGGGCATATTTCGGTAAACTGACGCATTTTCCGAACTATTTAAACTGTAAATCGGAGCAGCAGTCTAACCTATTCTGGGCATAAAAATATATCTTCTTTTCACATCCCTTTGTCTTTAGGACTTGGAAGAAGTAGATAACACCCTTCACATCTATGCGTTTACGCAAATTACAATGCCGCTCCTGCCTTCCAAAAAATCAATTAACGATTCCTTCATATTTTTCAGATGACACCTACGTGAACCGAAGCACCCCCAGCAACAACTAGCGCCTTCTCTCAAAAGTTAAAAATTCTGGATCTGAATGCTACATATAACGTTGAGTAACTATTAGTGCTTAATGATGATTCGAAAGTGAGTCAAAATTTTTAACTAGCCGTTGAAAGTTCTTGACAGCCGCATGGTCAAAGTATTATCTCCATGACTACTTGGCAATGTCAGTATCGTCCCCGTAGTCGACTAAATTATTTTTTTGGACCTGATCCTCGCGTCCGACATATCTTTTTCGAAGTAGACGGACTTGGCTTGGGAAAAATTCCTAAGTAGCATGAAAAACATGGAATTCATAGTTCAATTTGCACTCTTTACGCCAGACAAATCTTTGTGCTTACTTTAATTTTTGAATTGTAAAATTCTGCATCAGCATTACATCTTAGGAGTATAAAGTTACAGTTTGGGAATCTAAACTTATTCTCAAGCCTTTACTCAAAGACACTACTTTGCCTTAGCATGCTAGCACAATCAAAGAGGTATCCCGCAGGATTTTTAGGACTAATTCTGCAAGTGCTAACGACCTTTCTCCAAGGACCACTGACTTAACCTCTAATTTGATAAGCCGAGGTTGGCCAAACAATTTCTAGATCATAAAACTGAGTTCAGCATTGAAAATGTTTCACTTAGTAGTGAGAAACTGCAGAAAGCATGACGGATTCAGGTTACCTCGAAGATTCTTCAAGGTATGCAATACGCCTGCATTACAGTCAATTTTAATATTATACTCTCTATTCAAATGGAAACCGCTGTCCCTGGAGACAAAAAACTGCGGCAAGTTCTGTTTTCGAAGTACATTTAGAAGGTTAACGTCTATTTTTATGGGCGGCTGATAGACTTTGGCCCAAAAATTCATACACAAAATTCTCGGTCTGTGCCTATAGACCTTGAATATACTGATCTTCTCCAAGTTCTTAGATAATTTCCAAGGAATTTAAAAAGCGACAATTTCTAAATTGGAGTGTCTACCAGAAAAACAGACGGGGAACGCTCGGGGACCCAATGACAAGGCGAATCCCTCGCAGCTGCACCAAGCAGCGGCCGAATATCGGCGAACGTGTATGGGTTTTTGGCTAGTACCTGTGCTGTTAGTATGGTATCACCTTACTTTATAGAAAGACATCAATGGCAAAACTATGAAAGCAGAAAATCTACCCTGAAATGTGCTTTACACTTGGGCATGAAGCAACCATAGCCAAAAAGTCACCAGATGTGCAAACTGAGCAAATAAGAATGGAGACAGACATCCCAATAAAACAACCCTGTCGAGTTAAGTGGACTTGCAAACTGCAGTTTTCATCCTTTTATTACATTGACAGTCCTTCTGGAGGTTTCTAATATGGTTGGTTTTATTTTAACTATGAGGCTACAAAAGTTACTTTCGGCTAGTCAGGTAGATGTTCACTGAATACTGTTCACAGGCCTATTCTTTAGAAACCACCGAAGTCAGCGTGACAGTTCAGCGCGTAAACGGAATCGATACACTGACAACCGCTCAGAACGACGCTGTCCACCGTGTGTCCCGCAGAGATGCCAACGTCAGTAATTTCTCTGTAAAGTTTGCAATAAAAATAAGTGTCTAATGCTAAAGAATTTGAAAACCTTTTATAAATAAAAAGCTGTCTGTCTGATAGTTATTTGAATTACGGAAAAAAATCATGCATCCTGAGATGTCCGATAATTTAACGAAGATTGCATCGACCGATTATGGGCAGTTAGCAGACGAACATACTCCAACAGAACTTGTTTTAATATATGGAAATAGGTTAATTTCCAAAACGCTACCGTAACGCCAAAGATGAGGTCAAAAGTGGACTAAAGTTTCTCAGTATATCACCCATTTAAACTCAGTCGACTTAAACGCAACGGCAGGAACAGACAGGGGAAACTAGAATGACCGACCATACCCCGATCCATGTTATAGGAGAGCCCGGGATTTGAACTCTGAGTTTTCGGTAATCGCGTCAAACTCTCTCCTACTAAATCACGGACCCATTTCCTGCTGGTTTTCAGGTGGAATGATTTTAAGAAATGGCAATATGTCTAGTAATTATTTGAAGTGTTTTAAAAGTCATGCGTTAGTACTTCTAACTAGATGTACATCGGCAAATTATGTGGTGTTAACAAAAACAAATTTTATAGCACAAATTGCTTTTATATAAAATTCGTAACATAGAAACATTTGGATTCCTAAGACGCTACCGTAGCGGTAAATGAGAGGCCAAAGGAAGTATACAGACTGCCAGCATATCACACAGGTCAACGCATTCGACTTCAATACAGCAGTATGAACAACTGCTGACATTCAAGGAACGTCTGAATGCGGTCTTCCCGGACATACAATTTACGATGGAGGAGGAAGAGAACAACCAGCTGGCCCTCCTGGATGTCCACGTATGCCGCAAAGATTGTGGTGAAATAAAAACCAAAGTGTTCAGGAAAGCGACAAATACGATGCAAGCACTGAACTTCAGCAGTAACCACCCAATCAGCCGCAAACACAGTTGTGTAAGGACGCTCTTTCGACGTGTCGAAACGCACAGCAGTGAGCCAGAAGACAATATTGCTGAAGTACAATACCTCCGACGGGTCTTCAAAGCCAATGGCTACCCGCGCAACTTTGTCAACCGGTGCATACGCAAAATGGACGAAAGGCCTAACCGTACGGACACCAAAGTTTGGCGAGCGCTTCCATATGTCAAGAACGTTTCGGAAGCTGTTGGCCGCCTTCTCGCACCACTTGGTGTTGGAGTTTCCCGCAGACCGGAGGCAACCATCAGGCGTCTGATCATGAAACCGAAATACCCACTGCCACGGCAAGAAACGGCTGTAGTCGTTTATCGGATCTGGTGCAGTTGCGGACAAAGCAACTACGTCGGAGAAACCGGAAGACAGCTCCGAACTCGAATGGCCGAACATGCTGCAGTGGTGCGGAGAAATGGCGCCAGCTCTCAAGTTGCGGCTCATTCGACGGGTTCCGGCCACACATTCAAATTCGTCGAGGCCGAAATTCTCGCAAGAGGTGACAACCGCGTGAGCCGGGAGCTGCTTGAGACATGGTTTACTGGCCCCCATTCTATTAACAGGTGCAATGTTCTTCCCGTCCCATACTTGGTGCTGAGACTTCGTCTAGGCGGCGTAATTGGCCAGGCGGGGAGCGCACTGGTGAACACTCTTCCCAACACCCGGGTCAGCGCGTCAGATGGTCGAGCAATCATCACACCAACATCCAACGCACGTGATGAAATTGCAGCAATTAACGACGCGAATATCGGCCATCACGCCATGTGCAACGATCCCTGATGAAGGGGAGGAAGCCGTGAGTATTCATAGGTATTCGTTAGCATGGCTACTGCATTCTATAAATACTGCAGCCGCATGTGCATGAACCACCCTTACTTACGTATATCTCTGATGATAGATTCGAGCAGGAATCCGAAACGTCAGGCTAATAAAGCCCTTTTCCCGGCGATCGTGTCTTCTTCTTCTTCTTCTTCTTCAAGTATGAACAATCTGTGTGGAAAAATTAAGCCAAATGTGGAATAGCGGTAATTGTGTAACATTAACATTCCTTCTAGAGGTTCCTATGGTATTTGATCTTATTTTGATGTTGAGGTCATAAAAGACATTTTAGATCACTTCGAGTAGCCCGGTAAACGTTCACAGAATGCGTTTTACAGGCCCGTCCTTTAGTAGATCCATAGCTCTTGCAGAGGCTGAAGTCAGCGCCACGGTTTACTGACTGACACCTGGTCAGAACGAAAATGCCCACCATTTTCTCCACAGCAGTGTGGACGCCAGGACGATGATTTGCGCGTGAACTGGCTTGAAGTGGCGACAGACATGCGTTGCATCTGCCGTCCTCCCTTCTCCCTAACCCACTTGGGCCCGATGTCAAGAACGATTTCGAAATACCAGAGGCGGGATCGAGCATAGTAATAAATGAAGTTACACAGCTTGTCTGTGCATGTACAGTGGCTTGATCTGAACAAAATAGATCAGATGTTCACTGAAACAGTATGTGGGGACGACTTGAATTTCCCGAATGAGTGTCAGAGCCATGGAGGCCATTTCGGAAAGAATCATTGCAGCCTGGCTCATCTTGTCGGGAGGATAGAGATATCCCGTCAGTCGGCAGCCTTCTAAGCCGCAATTTTAGAGTACCGTGAGAGTTCAAGCACTTGTCAGATTAAAAAAAGAGGAGGCGTTCACCGGGAGAGGTGTATTTGAGGTCCGACGTTTCGGGTAGTCGTTTCTTCTACCCATCTTCAGAGGCTGAGCAGTCGTGCACACAGCTTTCCTTTTATGGCGCACTTTGTTCAATGCCTGGCCAACCAATGCCGCCTGTGTGGCTGCATCCGACCCGCATGTCAACGTGAACTGAATCCTGCCCATCTTCATCGGCCGCGGTGATAATTGGCGGCCCCGATTGTCCCGCGCCGTGGCTGTCCCCCGTCAAGAATGTCCTTAAAACCAGATAAGGGGGAGGCAAATTGATTTGGCGGTTGACAGAACAGTCGGTAGACATCCAGGCTTCTTGCACCTGCCTTGCCGCATGATCATCACCCCGGCCCACAATTTCAACGACGTCAAAGTTGAAGACGTGCCCCATTTGGGCGGCATGGGTTGCTACCTCTGACTTTGGATCCAACCTTCGCACGGCCAACTTATGCTCCTGCATGCGCGTTTGCAGCCGTCGACCGGTTTCCCCAACGTAGTTACACATTCCGCAGCTGCACTGAAGTCGATAGACAACAGCCGATATCTCCTGTTTAGCGATCGGGTCTTTTGGCCACATCACTTGCCGACGGATTGTTGAGTCGGACCTTTGGGCAACGCATATTCCGAGTGGCGTGAGGGATCTGGCCACGGCTTCGGAGACCCCTTTCATGTATGGAATGCTCCTCCACGATTTTGGCTAAATAGGTTCTTTATTCTGCTTCCTTGGTTGCTTTCGGCTATGCTCAACGAATTTTCGCAGATAGCCGTTGGCTCTGAAGAGTTCGTCGAGGAGCTTAATCTCGTCCAGTTTGGCGACTGGAGTGCTGCAATGAGTGTCCGCCCGTCGGTATAGCGTGCATACACAGCTTTGCTTGTGTTGTGGCGGGTGGTTGCTGTTGTAACTAAGCATTTGCAGCGTGTTCGTCGGTTTTCTGTAGACTGACGTCGCCAGTTTACCATCTGGTTGGCGGCAGACGAGAACATCCAGAAATGAAAGTTTTCTCTCCACTTCTTCTTCCATCGTGAACCGTAGTTAGGGGATGATTGAGTCCAATAGATTGGTAGAAGAAACGACTACCCGAAACGGCAGACCTCAAATACACCTCTCCCGGTGAACGCCTCCTCTTCTTTTGATATGCCACCCGGGAGTCGCTTTTTCACTTCTACTTGTCAGATTGTTTATAGTAAGGAATATGCAGTGAGTACGGTGGGGATGTGTTGCGAGGAGTTGACAACAATGCCGTCAGTAGGGCCAAGCAAATGGACTCAGTCCCAGGCAAGCGGGTGCAACGATTGAAGGGATGGTTCCCGAAATCATTCCGGCATCATTTATCATGATGCGCAAACTAGGAGGACTTGGGGCAGTTGAAGTAGTCGTTTTTCTGTTGGCTAGGAGGACATACTCTCCCCTATCCCCTATCGATATTGTTGTGTTCTTCGAGTTCCCTTGGTTGTGAATCGGCCGGGCGCACAAGTTTGATAGATGGAGGAAGGTGCTCAGGTGACCGTCGATCCAGGAGCTCTTGAGGGCATATTTGCAGCACAAAAAATTATAGCTACTTCCTGGGTTTGAGTAAGCTGTTCTTAATTAGTCCTGCGGTTTAGAATTCCAATTCCAATTCTGTTTATACCTACGAACATCTATGTACTGAAGCCTGCTTTTTCAACTTATCTGAGCAATATTAAGCAACTATCTGCGGAACAAACTATGCCCTCATATTCTATAATAATGGTTTATAATCCTCACCGGCCCGTATACTGAAATAAAGTGGAAATCCCTCTCATTAACAATCATAGGGTGAACATGAACGGCTTTTATGTCCCTATAGTATACTTTAAAGTAACTGTTCCTTAGAATATTGGCATATTTCTTCGGCACGTTGTTTTAAATAATTTTAAATGGATTTAGAAACGGCACTTTGAGGGGGTCTTTTATTGCTATATTCTCCTCTAGTTACTTCAATTCTTTTAACACTCCACAGCAAACATTCCATTGCTGAAAGGAGGAGTTGTGTCGTTAGAGAGAAGGCACATACAACCCTAGTATTACTGAAGGACAAGGAGTCGCGAGACTGCTAAAACTCTCTAGATAAATGTGCAAATGCGCGATCAGAGACGATAAAACTCCGGCGTATTATTTCTGCTGATGAGTAGTACTTTGCATTATCAAGATCAATCACGTACTGCGCCTTCCGACGCTAACGGTGCTGTTCGACGCATCGTATGCACTTACGCTTGGGACCGACAGGCGTTTGACGGACGATCGTTCCAAATCAACCATCTCAAATTACATGAGTAACGGGGTTTAAAATGTGTGTCTTGATCTAGGAACTGCTATGAGCCCATAAGTGGCCTGATTGAGAGGAACCAGACGATTGTTCGAAGTGCTACGACAATCTAACAGCCTTAACTTTAGTGGCGGCCAACTGCCTCTATAGCGCTGTCCTACGAATGACTAACGGACAGCCTCCGTTTGTTTTTCCCTGCTCTGACCTTTGTTCACTCTCATCTTTTTAGCTCTGAAGCTCATTCGTTGACAACATGTATTTCTGAAATTAGATGCGAAGATAGAATGAGATTGGGGTCAAGTATTCTTGGTCCATTCCTTTTTTTCTGTTTTTCCTTCCCGACACTAAATCTGTCACACACACACTAAGATCCAACCGTCAGATTAAGAGACATACAGTGTCATAGACTTCTCCACTAACCGTCTGATTTCCCGGGTTTCGCTGATGCTTGAATCTCCTGCGTATACCCTAAAAACATCAGTGGATGTCATTTCCTGAAGGACGGAATTTCGCTGGTTGGAGAGAGTTCATATATGTTCGGGTGTTTTATTGAGCAGATTTGGCCACCCACCCTCGATGCGGAATGGTTGCATGAGAATTGCGCTATTAACCTCCGGCTTCCAATCTGTCGAATTCTCCGAAATACGGAAGCAGTGTCCGCAAACAACCTACCTATTTAATTCAATCGAGTAGAATTTGCTTTGTTCGCCTAACTGCCGCCTGCGAGGGTTCTCAATTGAACCATAGACACAAGCATGTTCCGTAACCTAGTCAGTGGACACCTGTAATATGCGAATTATCAGGATTTCATACAGACAAAATCTCGCAAGTCACGCGTCATCGGCCCACCACAACCCAACAAAAGCCCACACGGCAGCTCTATGGGATATATCGGCTATGTCCAAAATTCTAATGCTTTTGAAACTGCAGTTCTTTGTCAACTCAGGTCGACTGAATAGCGTAAGTAAAATGGTTGCCTCAAGTCTCCCTCTGTCTTTGTTGCTTGTGCTTGGGTGAAGTTCATTCTCACAATTGAGTAGATATTAATATGCCGTAACTCGTAATTTTTCAAGGGAAGAAAGAGCAGACTGGCGGAACACGCATGCAAAGATTTTGTTTGGCGTCTAATGGGCTTTGCACAGGCCAGAACTTATTCTTAATCTGTTATCGACTGGCGTCCACTGCACCGCCTTCAACGTCAGAGTTTTGGCATGATTACATTAGCCAAACTGCCATTTATCGTGTAATTGTTGACCTACAAGCGAATATCAGTATCAGTATCAGTATCAGTATCAGTATATTTCAGGGAAAGTAGGTGTGTACCTTTGAAATCCCTATTGGTTACATGCAGAGGATATATATGGAGGAAATGGAAAGGAAGTAACATGAAAGAAATGCGAGGGGAATAGC